GTGTGTGCGTGCGTGTTTAGACATCTTTGTGAGGACAGTAGGACAAAGTGTCCTCTCAGACATTTTTGAGACTCAACATGAGGTTTTAGTTTCAGGGTTTCTGTTGTGTTAGCAGCTCAGGAAAGCATGCTGTCACTAAGATGTGCTCATCGAGAAATGAAAACAAGTGTGTGTGTGTGAGAGAGAGTGTGTAGATGCTGTAACACAAAGTTGGTGTTATCTGGGTAAAGCACTGAGCTGTGACTCCGCCCATAAAAATCATAGATCCCCAGCTGATTTCTTTGTGGCTTGTGCGCCGTTGAAGGTCGTGACCCTGAGCAGCGCGGCTGTTTGCAGCTCCGTCTCTGGACCTGCTCCAGTGTGCAGCATGTTCAGTTTCATCTTGTGTACTTTGGATTTGTTTCTGTGCTGCTGAGGTCCACAGTCTCCTGCATTTTTATTCCATGAACTTCTGTTTTACTTAACCTCCACAGCCTGTCCTGTCAGCCAATCGTATCGCGGCTTATTCTTTTCTGAGCCTCACAGTCGGCGCGTTGAGGAGAAATCAGGACGTTGCCTTGTGAGTGAGTCTGTGTTACATCCTCGTGCAGCAAACAGGACGTAGTCTGTATCAGAGGCTCCATGATCGCAGTGCTGAGACTTCATTCACACTTTAGCACACACGTAGCGTGCGGGTAATGTGGCGACAGCTTGCGTGACTGTCATCACAGGAATCATCCAGGGGTTCTCAGGAAAACGCTGCTCGGGAAAAGGCACCGCTTTCTTTTCCTGTTGTTTTCCTTTCAGCTGTGAGTTTGCAGATCGCCGGGAAAACCCGAGGTGGAGCTGGTCTTTCTTTGTGAATGTGACCGGGATGAACTGGGAATCAGGGAATCCTGAAACAGGATTTTTGTTGCTTCTGTAAATTAAACTGAGATTTGATGTAATCTGTTAGTTTTTTTTGTTAATCTGGATTCACGTGTGCGAGATGACCTTTGAACTGCTCTTGTGGTGAATATTTTTTGGAATGTCCAGATCACGTCTGTCGCCTGAGCTAAATGCACGAGTCCTTTGAGGGGTTTGATCGTCCCAGCGGGCTCTGAGCTCTGACTCTGGGGGATGAATCACCCGTTCCTGGGTTTGTAGA